GAGCTGTCATTGGTCGGGTCGGGACGGGGCGGGGCTATCTCAGATATTTCGCACTCGTCAGATATTTCGCGCGACACCCGGTCCGGCCGCGCCGTGGCGCCAGTGAAAACTGCCATGATGGTCGACACATACGTATTTTGGATGGTACAGCCACAGACTATAACGGAGTAAGTAACAGCCGAGTAAGTAAACACTACACACACACACACGCACGCACGCACAAGCACGCACATGTGACTTCACTGACTTGTGAATACAATTACTAAAAATGGAGCTAGTGAAATTTACGGCCACTGATGTCAATCACTGAATCGGTAACACTATCACTAGACACTACTCAATATGTCATTACTAAGCCCCAAGTCATAGAGTCTGATAGACCCAAGCCTGCTGCCTAGTTTAGCATCCCGATTAGTTTAGCAGAGATATGCAAAAACAGTTTGCGGGGTCACAAACAACCCTCTCTGTCACAAAATAAAAAGGTAGTGTCTAAACGACCGGACCCGGTTTCGGAGGCCTGAAAACTAAACAACCGGCTCTCTTCTCTGATTGGTCAGTTTCCGAACATAACAGGACAAATATAATTTTTAATGCAAAACATAACGAAATATATTTAATTCCGAACATAAACAAAAGTTACAGAACAAACAAATGAATACGGAACAAATAAATGCAGAAACAAATAAAATTCAAAGAAATACAGAAAGCAGAGGAAAATAAAAACACCTTATGGGGTTCGAACACGGTACCTCACTATCACGAAGCGAACGCTCTACCGTTGAGCCACTGCAACCAACTTGAAGATTAGAGCTATATACCAGCCCTAACCCTAACCCTAACCCTAACCCTAACCCTAACCCTAACCCTAACCCTAACCCTAACCCTAACAATAATCCTAACCCTAACCCTATCCCTAATTCTAAAATAAAATAAAATTAGCCAAAAATAATAATAAATGAAATAGTGACAAAATTAGCCAATCAGAGAAGAGAGCCGGTTGTTTAGTTTTCAGGATACCGAAACCGGATCCGGTTGTTTAGACACTTCCAAATAAAAATGTGTTATAAAAATTAAAAGAGAAGACCTCTTTATATAACACATTTTTATTCCGAATAATTCTGTCCTATATATTACCTTTTTTATATTTTGGTGAGGGTTATTGGGACAGACGGGGTTCATTGAAATTTCGTGAGATCGCATGCAAAATGCATGCGCTGCGCTAATGCGGCCCGTACGCCGCTATTGGCGCGAAAAAAAACCTACCTTCCTTCTACATGCTTACCTTGCTACTGATATGTGTATACATTCACTTCAATCGTTATTCACTTCTTAAAAGATGATTTTTCAGAAACCCCGCTTCATTTAACTTTAGTAAATTACGTTTGTCATTTACAAACAATCAGACCAATCAGAGCGAGTCTATCAGGCCTCCTGCAGCGCCACAGATACAAGCGAGAGCCAGGGGCTATTGTAAGGCTCTCGGATTGGTCTGATTGTTTGTAAATGGCAAACGTAATTTACTAAAGTTAAATGAAGCGGGGTTTCTGAAAAATCATCTTTTAAGAAGTGAATAACGATTGAAGTGAATGTATACACATATCAGTAGCAAGGTAAAGCCATGTAGAAGGGAACGGTAGGTTTTTTTTCGCGCCAATAGCGGCGTACGGGCCGCATTAGCAGCGCATGCATTTTGCATGCGATCTCACGAAATTTCAATGAACCCCGTTCTGTCCCAATAACCCTCACCAAAATATAAAAAAGGTTATATGGGACAGAAATATTCGGTCTACAGGTCCCAGTGCTCTGTCAGTGTCACAGCAAACTATCCTTGATCACATGGATGATTCATTGATTGCCTAAAATACGCTTAATTAATAAACACATGAAATCAAAGTATACTAATTACTATTATAATTTATACAATATTCAATAATAATGTGTCTATCAACTACCATGGTACCTCTAGGACTATAGCCCGCGTACAGTTGCCGCAGGCGTTGTGCCCTGCGGCAACTGTACGTGGGCTATAGTCCTAGACACAGGCACTTGGAACGTTGCAATAAAAAAAAAGGTAAATAAACACGAAATGTATTTACTACCAAAGTCTTAATGTTTCTCTACTCTATTTTGCCTATAATCACCTGTAAATGCCAGTCAAATGCTCATCTGCAACACACAAGTACACCGCACACGCCCGCGCTGTGCACAAACAACATGAATAAGAGAGCATTATGTTAGTAAAAGCAGCAATCTCTAAAGAGCAATCAGTAATCAGTAAAAGAGCAATCTCTCCTATTCATGTTGTTTGTGCACAGCACGGGCGTGCGGTGTACTTGTGTGTTGTTTTACTTTGTTTTACATGGATTAGTTTTGTTTAAAATTTACAAATTCATTACACACTCGTGTTCAGAACGCCGTATTATTATTAATGATCCAGTTGCTTTTAGGATCGCATTTTACACGACGCAATGCCATAAATTAGACTAGTCCTCGCTCCTGTTCTCAGTTGCTCGTTGGGCGACTATTAGTTGCCCAACGAGCAACTAAGCCGAGAGGTGGGAGCGAGTACCAGTCTATGCCATAAATTAGAATGGACGTGTGCAGGCTATATGCGCAGTCGTTGATCAAAGTGACATTTGGTTAGCGATGAAACAAAGTTTAAAAAGTGTTATTTATACAGTAAGTAGTCTCATAAATACTTTGAGAAATAAACCGACGGTCCATTTAACTTGTTAAATTTCCTGGACCGAGAGAGATTTTGGTGGTCTCGTACCACGGTCCACCGCCTAACGTCGAAGACTGGTGTGTCGCACTTGCTGCTAGCATGTACGATGTATGTGCGTTCTGGAGAGCGGCGGTGTCGATTGATGAGCGGGACCCCACCCCCCGGAATTGTTTCATGACTAGCGCGAAGTGATGTCGCGTGCGTGCGGAGCAAGCTGGGTTTACACTGACGATTTTGGCAAACGTTTCAACATTTGACCCATAGCGTATTCGCGGGGCGACGCGGATATGCATTTTTGCACGTATCACATGCCGCCAGCGTGGCGCCTAAAGCAAAAACGTGCTCTCCCCCTAGGGGGGAGGGACACACCCCTGATTGCTGTTCTATGATTGGCCACTTGGCAAAAAAACGTCCAACTCGCCTGCTCCGAGACGGATATGACTGCTAGGGGTGATGGGCGCCTGGGAGGGGTCCACTCTATGTTCCCCCGTCCCTATTTTCCCTTGTCCCTATATTCTTATTTTGCTTTACTACGGCTATGTATCGCCACATCACAACAGAACATACTATACTATATCTGCCAAATACTCAACGTGCGCACGTAGCTATTGGTAGGCATAGACAACTCTCTTTTCCCCTCGCTCTCTCTCTCTCGCTCACACTCGCTCTCCCTCGTTGTCTCGCTCTTTCTTTCTCTTTCTCTCTTTCTCTCGCTCTTGCTCTCTCTTCCTTTCGCGCGCTCTCTCTCCCCCTCTCTTTCGCTCGCTCACACTCACTCTCTCTTCCCCTCTCTCTTCCCCTCGCTCTCTCTCTCGCTCACACTCGCTCTCCCTCGTTGTCTCGCTCTTTCTTTCTCTTTCTCTCTTTCTCTCGCTCTTGCTCTCTCTTCCTTTTGCGCGCTCTCTCTTCCCTTCGCGCGCTCTCTCTCCCCCTCTCTTTCGCTCGCTCACACTCACTCTCCCTCTTTGTCTTTCTCTCTCTCTCTCTCTCTCTCTCTCTCTCTCTTGCTCTCTCTTTCCTTCACGCTCTCTCTTTCTTGCTCTCTCTTCCCTTCACGCTCTCTCTCTCTCTCTCTCTCTCTCTCTCTCTCTCTCTTCTCTCTCTCTCTCTCTCTCTTGCTCTGCTCTCCTCTCTTTCCTTCACCGCTCTCTCTTTCTTGCTCTCTCTTCCTTCACGCTTCTCTCTCTCGCTCGCTAACTCATTCGCCCTCGTTGTCTCGCTCTTTCTTTCTCTTTCTCTCTTTCTCTCGCTCTTGCTCTCTCTTCCTTTCGCGCGCTCTCTCTCCCTCTCTTTCGCGCGCTCGCACTCTCTCTCTCTCTTTCGCGCTCCCTCTCTCTTTCTCTCGCGTTATTTATTTATCCCTCGCTGTCTCTCTCTTTATCTCACTTTCTCTCTATCACTTCCTCGCTGTCTCTCGACGTCGCGTACGCCACCAGCTGAATCGCAGCCAAATCGCCCCAACCACCACGTTCGCGATCAGCCCATACCTATGAGAACACCTGGCAACGGCTACGTACGGACAGCAGTGGCACAGTTTTTAACTTTTTATAGCTCGTAGCTCGTTCACGCTACAGCGCGCACATGTATGCTAAATATAACCGGCAGCCTGTCGTTATACTTTGAAGTTACGACAGTGGCCGTATAGGCTTTTGTGGCGCCACGTGTTAAATCAGTAGCCGTTCAACTATATCTAGCCTCTTTATAACGGCTCATAGCAACTTTTGGACAAGTAAAATAAAAAATTCGGACAAGTAAAAATTGCTTCTTGTTACCCGACAGGACAATTAGATCTGAAAATAAGCGCCGAGGCCTGGTATTATTTCTATCTAGAAGAATATAAAGCGCCATCTATCAGTATTTTTACGAGTTAACATGGTGCGAGTTGGATGCATGATTCCGTCTACTGAGTGAGAGACCATGGTGAGAGACTGTCGCCGCAGCCAAAGTCTGTCGCAGTAATTCAGCTATCACAGGTCTTTGCTATTGTTTCAGTGCTATTTTATTAGTGTTTCTTTCATTAGTTTTATTTAGATACATCGGTAATTCTGATCATCTGAATAGTAGTAACTAATAATAACTTCTTTTTAAATTGTTGATAGGTTCAAGCTGGTAAATCCAGTAAAGGATTTGGAAAAGAAGTGCACAACTAACACATGGTCTGGGAAAACGGAGGCTAATGGTGTCTAGGTAATTAATCTACTGTTTTTGTTTGAGTTCTATAATAAACTGTATAAGGTAATGGTTATAGCGAACTGTATAAACGTAACATTGGAAAGGGTAATAGTATTCAGGGAAATAATAGTCATTTAGGGTAATAGTATATAATATAAGCAGGAGTGTATATAATATAGACACCTAATAATACACTCCTGATATAGATATCCCACTGAATTCTATTGAAAAATCGTGTTGTAATGTCTTGTAATAGTTCTGTATAGTTGTTGTAATAGTATTAAACACTATAATATTTTATTATATTTTACACAAGTTTTTGCCAATATCACCTTGACCACTGAGCATATCTTTATGCAGATCTATATTCTTTATGTATATTTCTCCACCTTTTTACAGTGGCTCATCCAATCACCATGGCATACATTACTGCTAATAAATGCAGATTGGGTGATATATATGAATAACTTCATGTTAGTCAGTCATAGCTTTACTCGTGTAACCCCTTCCCTCCTGCTATACAGGCATCCTGTAATGGTAGCAAAGGGGCTACACCAGTAGACAGGTAGAGCTATACCAATAGGTGACCCCCAATATAACTCTAGTACTACAGCCCTTGTTGCCACAGCGCAAGCAGTGCACCTGTAGCAAGATGGGCTGTAGCACTAGAGCTACCCCCAACAATGCTGCAATCAAGTAGCCGTAACTCGGCAACTCTATTGAAATGCATGTTTGCATTTTCAGCAGAAAGCAGCGAGTCAGCTCCTAGGTGAAACACCGTTAATTCAAAGTATTAACTATAGCGTCTCATGTCGTATTAGATCTACGATACTACGATTTACGCCATATTTTTCGCATACAGATATTTTCGCGAATTCACACTTGACTGACAATTTCGCGAGTGGTTAATTTCGGTGAATTATGAAATTATTCGGTATTATTCGGTATTAATTATTCGTGTGTTGTTATTTTCGCGGTCGCGGTCACGAAATTCGCAAAATTGAACCACCGCGAAATATACAGCGTATACACTATTCTGTATATCGTTGGATCTATGTCTGTTGATGACTGTAAAACTTCGCCCTCGTTTGCAGGTGGCTCGTACGACTGGGCGTCGACGATGCTTGCGTGCGCGGAGCCGGACGATACGTCAGTGCTGCCGGCCTCAGTCACCCTGACGCGTCCCTGTTCGCAACGAGTGCTGTAAGTACGCGGCTAGCTGATAATAAGGCCACAATTAAAAAAATCTTTGTTTTACGTACCCTCACCAGGTAGGCTTCTTTTTTCTTTTTTTTCTTTTTTTTTACAAATTCAACATGGTGTCTACATACTTGGGTGTGCTCGTGTGGAGATACCTTTTATGTTGAAAGTTTGTTTTGCTTAGTACATATAATGTATTGCCCACAGATTTATATAATGTACAGTGATACAATTTGTAAAAAAAAAAGATCAATAACATTTTTTGAGTCTGCCTCTTTTTGGCGGGTCGGTCGGGTGAGGGCAAACAAACACTATTTTTATTATGGCCTAACCTAGTCGTGCTCCTATCAACTTATCAACTACAGTAAAAGACTGCGTATAAAAACCTATAGTGATTAAGAACATGTTAGGCTAAGATTTTCCATTTAGACCCCCTTGACATAAGAACCTGGTTTAGCCTAAAATTTGAATCAGGTTAATTATTTAATAAAATTCAGTTAACACTTAAAAATTCATAAATCAACTAAAACAAAAATGAAATAAGATAACCTAGAATAGGGTTTGTATTTGTCTAGATTGCAGTCATTTAGACATAATTATATGCAAATTTTATATAAACAATGGACTGCACCAATATTCTACCAGCAACAATTAGCACCTTTTTTTTCTTAAGAAAATAAGAACCTATTCAAATTGGTACTTAGCGATTGTCACACCTGAGTGTTTGTTAATTTGAAGAGGTTAGCATCGCACGATGAAGCTGACCACTTTTTGTCTTGTTCTAACGAGGTCACTTTGTTTAGTAACAACCAACTGTCTATTGTCAGCGTTATAACCAGCGCTGGTTATGCAATACAGTCACAGCGTGAGAAATTAGCGGTCGCCCAGTCGCCAGTGGCGATTAGAAAATCTACCGGGCGACTGCTTGCTCGTGTCAGCTGGTCCGGCGGGGCGACTAGATAATCGCCGCACATCATTATACACTGCGACTAAGAAAGCAAATCACATTCTTATTCATTTAATTCGAGCACAGACAGACATGCCACTCACCACAGTACACGTACGTTTAGTTCTTTGAGTGGGCAATTTTTTGAAGCAATAGCAGCAGCGCACTATAAGTAAGTTTAAAAAATCGCTATCATTCCATCAAGGCATCAG